CCAAACTTTTGTTCCTTTTCAGTAGCTCCTGAGATTAAAATGTCACCCAAATAGATTTGCCACACTGGGCAGCCCTTAGAGAATGTTTTCCATTACCTTTGAAAGATGATGCCAGTCAAATATACCCCAAAGGGAAAGCAAGTGTACTCATACATTCCTTTGTGAGTATTTGTAATACATACTTCATGGATGATCCCTTAAGTGCCAGTATGCGGTAGGCATGTCTCATATTCAATTTAGAAAATATGTAACCCCCAGCCGACTTTTCATAGAAGTCTTTCTTTATGGCATAGGGTATCTAAGTGGGAAAGTCTTGTTGATTGTCAACTTATATTTCCTACAGAAGTGTATCGAGTTGTCAGGTTTTACAACGGGGACTACTGGCGTGGCCTATTCAGCAAAACTGTACTGATGTCAAATTCCTCTAGACATTCGAACTCAGCTTCTACTCTGGTGCACAGGGCATAGTGAACCAGTCGCGCCTTGAAGTATTTAAATTGGGCCTCTCGCTATATGTAAATCTTGGCCCTATCACAGACTTAATGAGTTTGTTGAAAACAGGGGCTTTCCAAAACTTTTCCTGACTCTTGTCACCAAGGTAATAATTCAGATAGCCTAACTCGAAAGGAACCTCATTTATGTTGAACACCAGACTAGGGCTACTATTCGTAGCATACGCAGGACAGTCCCAGTCCAGGACACACAGATCTGTAGATCCATCTGTGGATCTGCTTTTTTAAAAAAATTTTTTCTTAGTTGTTTTTTTTTTTTGCCTTGGGTCTGCTTTATCTTTTTTCTGTCTGGGCCTGCTTTTTTTTTATATCCAGAAGTGCTCCTACACACAGCTGAACATTTTTTCCCACCATCAAATCACCGTGAGATCTTTTGTTTTTAACAATTAACCACTACGAGTAAAGCTCCTGAATAGCCAATTAAATATCTACATGAAAAACCCGTTACGGGGACTGGGTCCGCTGTACGACAGGCTCAGGTTGAAAAAAACAGGATTCAGGTGATATATTCCAGCTGAGCAGGCCATTGCCTGCTAACCAGGGAACTCAAATGAGCTCCAAACAAAGATTAATTAGTGATTACCCATGGACCTTAAAGGGGTTATCACAGCCTCCAAATCACACACCACAGTGACTTGGATCTAGATTGCTGCTCCTTCAATGTCGACAGCTTAATGTCCTACAAAGGTTACTGTGGTTAAAGGAAAGCATTCACTACACTCTCTCAGAATAATCAAGAACGATAGTAAATACAGCCTGGCCAACTTCATCTATATCCTAAAACCAAAGGAAAAATAGGCCCAATTTTCAATTGTATGCCAAACTTCAACACATTTAAATACAAGTTTTAATGTTCCTCTATGTTTGAAATGGTAACTTTTTAACTATAAAAAGGTCAAGAAAACTGTCAGTAAAATGGATTTCATTCTACAATTTTTTGCCATATACCAAAAATGAAGTTATTTTTTGATATCTTTCCACTTCCATTTGGGATTGTACTTTAAAAAAAAAAGTGCCTTCACTTTCACATAGATGCATCAATCCAACTAACTATGTAACTTTCTCTGCGGTAGCAAGAACTGCAGACACTGGAGTCAGAGTCAATACAGTGTGGAGCTCACAACGGGTCAGGCAGCATCAGAGGAGCAGGAAAGTCGACATTTCAGATATAAACCTGATGAAGGATGTATACCCGAAATGTCGATTTTCCTGCTCCTCTGATGCTGCCTGACCATACGTAACCTTCTCCTATTTTCATAAGCAGGGTAAAGGGTCAATTTACTATAATCCTTGCTTGTAAACACAATTTCCTACTTCAAAATACGTAACCGTGAATTGTAGTTCAAACAAAATATAAAGAACAAAGGATTTACATTTGTAGAGTTTTTAAGTATTCAGAAACATCCCAAAAAACTTTACATGCCAATAATTACTGTACGGGCTATTTTGTAGGCAGATACAGCAAACAATTTACACGCAGTTCATTCCTATAAATAGTAATGAATAATTAGTTAATCTGTTTAGATGGTAGTGGTTAAGAAGGACACATGCAACAGGAGACAGACTTTCTTGCTCATCTTTGAATACAGCCAAGACATCTTTAACTTGATTGCTACTATGGGATCTCTCTGTAATGTAGAACACAAAACTGTATGCAGTATTTTACTTAAGATAAGGTTTTAATTAGTTTTATATTTACATTTTGGATTTTGTATTCTAAACCATTTTAACAAAATCGAAAATTCCATTAGGATTTTTGCAGCCTTATGAACACGAGGTGCTGCTTGCAATGTCCTACAAAACTGTACTCCTTAATCTGCCTGCTGCGCCACAACGCCAAGCCTATTTCTATTGAGTGTAACAACTGTGTTTTTCTACTGGCATTAAATTTCATCGGCGACCTTTTAGTTCATTTAATCTTATTGATACCCTTTGTCTTTTAAAGAATGAACTCTAGCTTCTGCTTTTTTATAACTGAAAATTTTCACATTTCCCCTAGGCAAATATCCAAATCCTTGTTATAGACAGTGAACCGATGTTATGTCGGAACAGAACTTTTTGAAATATAATTTCCAGCCAATCTAAAACAAAAACTGCCCTCAACCCCTGCTTTGTATTCTCCTTTCCAACACATCTTAATCCATTTTATTATCCTTTCCATAATTCCGTATCTCTGGCAATTTTCTATGTGATATCAGCCAAATTTTCCTTAAATTCATATACTCAACATTCAATTATCTACTTTCTATTGAGTCATCAAAAAATTCAATGAACTTGTCAAGTTCATATGTCTACGCCAGACTCTTCTGCTTGCTTCTTTAACCAGATGTGGGTAATTTCACTTGAATGGAAGACTCTGAATTTTAGTGTCTCTCCGTAAATACAAACCTAAACTTCATCACATTACTGCTGTTGCTTTTGATCAATGCACGTTAACAAAATATGTCAGTTCACTTCATATGTTAAAATGGCCTAAGCAATATCAGCATCTTATAGCAATCAAACTGACTTTGAATATTTAAGTCTTTTTTGTGGTTTCACTACATAAAAGGTTTGTTAGTTGACTCCTAATTCCATTCCTGTTTTGCCGTAGCCAGTAAAATTTCTAATTGAACAAGCTACTATTCTTTCAACAGTAGATATTTGCCAGATAAATTCAAGCAACAGCAAGATTTCTCCCACCATTTTGTATAAATACCCACTTGAGGTGTTTGAAATGGGATAAGAATTTTTGATTTTTTTTTAAAAAAGCTAATTATGCTTACTTAAATGTTTCATGTGTAGATCACTTAATTCCAAGCCAGTTAAATAGCATAATCTCCTTAAGTCTCAGTTTACTTTTCTATATCAAAGTTTCAATAATCATTCTAGAACGTAAGAAACAAACTCTGATGAAGGGTCTAGGCCCGAAACGTCAGCCTCTCTGCTCCTATGATGCTGCTTGGCCTGCTGTGTTCATCCAGCCCTGCACCTTGTTGTCTCTATAAAATTCCAAATCTGAGTTTATATCATGAGGATATCATAATTTATGGTGAAAATCCTAACAACCCCTATCAATAAGGCCTTAAAAAATAAATTTAGTTCCTTTCTTGTGTATAGGATTTTTTCTCACAGATCTCAAAGTGTTTGTTTTATAGTGCTCAGGTGTTTGTAAACTTTGAGACAAATCATTCAAAATCAATCAATTTGCTTCACACTCTGCTGACAGACCCTTTTCCATATGCTATGTGCAAGGCAAATGCAAAACTAATAGACAAATAGATATCATAAATCTGTTGAAATGAAAACAAAAATTAAGTTCAAATTACAGACGAGCAAAGACAGGCTAGTTTTTGGGTTAAGTTTATCAGTGACTATTAGCCATTTCTATGTTGTGAGTTTTCGATCTGTTTAGAAATGAGACTGCCAGTCAAGCAACTGCAACAAATAATCTTCATCTTCATGGCCTGCATCACATTCAATCAACAACTAAAACTGAACAAAAAACTGATCCACAAAACTGCATAGGTCATAGTGCTAAAATGTTGATGTTAACTTGTTTCTCTACAGATCCAGCTAAATCTGCCGAGCATTTGCAGTACTTTCTGTTTCCATTTCAAAATTCGAGCATTTGGCTTTTGCTAAAAAGATCCCCCAATTACGCCCTTTCAATTTATTGTTTTTTTTTGTCATGAATCTATTACCACAGCATTTCATGAATAAAATTTATAATTAAACCATTGTACTAAAACTTGTAGCAAATTTAATGCACTATGTTCTGGTCATGTCTGAAATATTTTCAAAATGTTGTACCTTTGCACCACGGCTGCTTACTTTAAAAAAAAGATAGAAAAGTTTTGTATGAAAAGATAGACATTCTTTTGAGAAGGGATTGTGGTCTCGTTCCAGTTACAGTACCGCCGCCCTCGATTTTATCGTACATATCAGCTTTCTAGATACAAATTTTCTAAACGTCAAAACATTCTGATTGCATACAATTCAGTACGAAAAATATCCCATATATGCAAAAACACCAAGCTACAAATTCATTAGCAACCCCCACTACTATACTGCTACACTCAGACTCAATCAAGGTTTACACCTTGTCAAATTTACTAAAGCAAAATGGCAACTGAGAATTGCAATATGTTTCTTCCATAATGTATATGTTGCCAAGAGAGTGACATGTCCATGCTCGCCTCCATACATACTAAGAAACTTGATATGGCTTATTGCATTTCATGCATTATTCTCACCAAAGGATATTTTATAAATATTGCTGAGACAGCTGGCAGATCAAACAATTAAAAAATACTGTAATGGTAGTCACTACAGACTCTAAGAAACTTCAGAGTTTTATTATCCTCACAGTTTTCCAAATACCAGAACAGTTAACTGCATCAATTACCTTTATAATTCAGATCCACTCTTCAGCTTTTTTCAATTAGCAAATTTGTGCATCCAATTATACGTTATCTCTATCTGGTTAGTCAACTGACTTCAACTTACCGTATGTTGTAGTATCCATCGATCCAGCTGTCCATTTCATTTTTAACATGGCCTGAGGCTGGATGTGGCCCTCTATCTAGCTGTCCACTTGAGTACCATGAGTCAGATGTGATAATATTATCCTGAACTGCTAAATCATTACTTGGATATTCAGGAGAACCACCAAAGTCATTCACAAAAGTCCCCTTTTCAACATAACGCCAAGATGGCGTGGACCCATAAAGTGGTGTCATTGTGCAATCCACATATCTGCACTGAGGAGAAAATGCTTTATGGTTGTCCATGGTGTGGGGCTCTTCTATTTTAATTTTAATGTTTGTAGCTGCACCAAACTGCATGCATGGATTGCCATTATTAAGGTCACAGTTGTCAGTAGCTCTCAAGCCAACTCTGTCTGACAGGTTGTACAAGGTATTTTCGTCAGAAGGTCGGTCATGTTCACAGTTACTCGCAAATACTCTGTTAAAGTGGCACTGCTTATGATCCTTGTCAGCATAATCAGCTGTCCGACTTTCTTCACCAATGCATTTCGCTTCTTGAGCCCTGGTGACACATTCATTACCAGTGGAGTCTTCAACTAACCCTCTACAAATGGACTCTCTCCTTGAATGAGATATGTCGTACTCTGTGGAATATTCACTGTTTTCTGACTCCCTACGTTCCCCTCGATCGAGCTCGTTCCCAGCTTCCAGTCTGCTGGCTAACCTCATATTTTGAGAGCCAGGGCACGGGTCGTCACTGGGCACTGCCATTGCAGTATCTACGGTGATTGCTGTGTTGCTGTTATTGGAAGGGAAGGAGAACATGCAGTCTCTCTTATTCTGGCTGCTGTTGGGGCCAAAGGGAGAATGCAGTTCACCCAGCTCATTGCTGTCAATGTGGAGGCCCATGGAAACCGAGACGGCCTTGCAAAGCTCCCGAGCAGTGTCGTTGATAAGGGAGTAAGAGCAACTGCCGCTGAACTCCGACTCTGGGGTGTATTCCCCGGGCAGCTCGCGGTCTTCAAAGTCATGGCCATCGCAGCGGCAGTCGCCGCCTTTCTCTCGCTCGGGACACACGTCGCGCGAGGCGTTGAAGAGAGTCCGTACGATGTACGGCGAGTGCCCGTAACCTCCACGGCCGCCGCCAACCGCCGCCTCGTCCGGCTGCTGGCCCAAGATGGCGGCGCTCTGGCGGCACGCGGCCTCGTAAAAAGCGCCGAAGCCCTCGCCTTCCGCGCGTCCCCGCGGCGTGGCCACCGCCGGCTCAGGGGCACCTGGCCCGCTCGCCCCCGCCGACGGCTCGGAGGCGCGCACCAGGCTGTGGTCGCGCGCGCAAGCCGCGTGGAAGACGCTTTCGAACGCCGCCCCCTGGCGCTGCACGCCGGCTGCTTCAAGCCCGGACCGCGCGCTGTAATTGCCATAAAGGCTCTGGGTCTCCATTCGCGTCTCCTTATGATTATGTAGGTGGGAGTGGGAGTGAGAGTCGCTGGAGGAGCGTGCAAAATTATTTCTTACAATCTGGACTTTTGTTTTTGCTTAGCCGGCAGGCGTTGGGGAGGGGGGGGGGGGTTGCCTAAAGCACAAACCTTGATTGTTGACTTCCACAGTGCATTTACAACAAGAATAAAAACTGAGGGTGGGGGTTTGCTCAATATCCCCTTAGTTGTTTCATTTTCCTTCGTCACTTGCAAATTACATTCATAAGTTTTTCGTTGCACTCGAAAAGATGTGAGACTACGTGCACAGTTTTATTGCAACGGCTGGGAGTTGCCGGCATTACTTTTTACCACGCATGGCCATATAATAAATCACGGGCTAAATCCTTTCATTTCAGGTCTGAAAAAATTAATACCGTGGAATCCCATATATTAACTAAGCCTTAATTTGTCTTGCATCCGTGACACGATATTTTGCACTATAATCGTGTATATTAGTGTCTGGTTTTCCCCGAATGCAAGCAGTGGCAACACTTTTAAGATACACTGAACTCAGTGATAGGTAGCTTCTAATTTCCAATTGCACTATAATGCCCCACTTGCAATTCCAGCAGATGCGATATGACAAACGTATTCTTGTTTTATGTGCTCGATTGTGGAATCCAAGCTCTATTCCCGTTGACTAGATGAAACGCCGTGTGGATCTCCAGAAACGTTCTCGCAAGGCAGATCCCGCAGCTCGCTTTTTGCTGACTGTTTCTGCTCGAAACGATTTTTGAAGCGGCCGCAAGTCGTCATGCACAATCAACATGATTCGCCGTCCCCAACAAGTGTGTCGATTCCTCTCTGCTGCCCCGCACAAGAGTACAGAAACAAATTATTCCCGGGAATAGGAGAGTCGCGGATTGAGAACTGGGCAATCCTGTTGCGAGAGGAGACAGTAAAGATAGCGATTGGAATAGTGGTCGCAAGCTTCGCCGACCTCCAGTAACATCGAACTTTTTTTTAATCAAGCGGTTCACTTTATCGTTAATTGCAGAAATACTTACTTCCAGCGCAATGCAAAATACAGTTTGAGTTGTCCACTGTTGTTAAAAGTACAGGTGAATATATTCATCAGTGAACTTCCACAGAACTGGCACTGCAAAAAAGAATCGCAAACTTTCTTTCTGTCCCGCTTTGCACTCTTGAGTAACCCAGCGCGGCTCCGACAGTTTGATTTCACTCGCTGCGTTGGAATTATAAATTATTCCCTGCTTCGACGATATCGCACGGCACTCAACTTTTGTAGCCTTTTCTTGTTTGCTGTATCCGATTTTAGTCATCACATTGCAACCATTTTGTCAAATTGAGGTTTGCATACTGCGATACCAGTGCAGCGTGCAGTCCGCCTCTTCCCTCTGCTACTGACTGCATCTGGCAATTGAAAGTGTTGACGCTACGTTTTGAGACCTTGGGGTTTGGCCAAAATAGCTGCGTCAATCAAAAGAGTGTGAGTGAGTGAGAGAATCAAGCATATTTATAAATAAGCGCAGAAAATATATTAACATTCTGTGGTAATGTTCCACACCCCAGGTATCGATTTGTTACATATTTACTATTATTTTAGACAGCGTTCAAAATATTACATATGGTACAACACTGAATTCATAGAAACCCAACAAGTCAATGAGAGTCTTCCTATGTTGCCTGGTCGCTGGCGACGGCCTAAGTTGACTTGACTTTTAATGTGTCCCTGGCCACTGTCATCTAAACCTTAGATCCATATCCCTGGTAAAGCTAATCCTGCCTCATTTATTAAGATCATAATTAAAAGCCGCTTATGTCTAGTGCTGGATATACAATGAAAAATTATGGGTTTGGAGATATGTTTGGTGAATTTTTATGAATCTTGCTATCAGTTGTTGGAGTGGGTGAAGGTGTCGAACATCCTCAGAACTAGTCCTATGAACTAGGACATGATTGCGTGCATTTATTTTCAGTCGTTACATTGCTGGCTTTTGTATGGGCGAACTGCACAGAATTGAACCCGTACAGATTGTATTGCTGCGACACTTCCCGTGTCTTCACGCAGACCCTCTTTATAAACAAACAGCCCATTACCAACAACTTTTTGGTTAGGCACCTGAAATCAAACGGATTTCTAAGCGTTAAAATCGAACTTCCCCCACCCCTGCAAATCGTTTTAAACTCTGAATTTTATCCTGAATAGGAATCCTGCAATGTCATTGCTCGCATTACATTTATGCTCACGTCCCATTCAACGCAAGATCATAACAGGGGTGCAGCAACTTTTTAAAAAAATTCTCAGTAGCATTTCCATTTAGACTTTATGCAACTCCTATAATTATAAGTTAGATATTGGGTGCAACTATAAAAGCTCTGTGTTTTGATATTCCACCAATCCCAATAATGGGTGTATAATTTGTCTTTAATCCAGAATTTGGATCCCTGCAGCTGGTACTAACCTTCAGGTGAAGTGACAATGCAAGGCCAGATTATCACTAAAAATTGCAACTGCTGTTTCATACAGGACACTTTAATGTAGGGATACAGGTGTGAGCCTTGAAAGATGAACAACACTTAAATATACCTTACAAATTAAATGTAGCTGTTCTATTTACTGTGTAATAAAATTTAAATGAATGGAAAATGGGAAGGTCACACATGAAAACAGAACTTATTTGCCAAATATAGCTAAGCAACAAGTATCCACATGCAATTTTTGGAATTTTTCAATGTCTTCTGATAAGCAGAAGCATAATCTGTTTTTACCTTGAGTCACCTAGTTGATCATCCAGCATCATTGTGAACCTTCAAGGTATGTATGTTTCAACAGAAATTTCCTTAATAGTGCTCTACTCAAGCATTTTAAGTTAAGTTAGCGATCTTTCATCTTGAGGAAAGCTTTCTGTAAATTCAGATTAACTGCATGATGGAGTTCCAATGCACACTTAGTCTGTTGAAGCTTTAGAAAAGCCATAGTGGTTTGCCAGGCAGGAAATTCACCTTCAATATCCAGTATGAAATTTCTTAGCAAGCTGCTGTTTTATAGACAAGCAATCAGGGCTCATCCGGGATTTAAATCGTGGACCTCTCGCATGTCTACCAAAGTACAACCCCAAAGCAAAAATCATACCCCTAGACCAACGAGCTGTTGCCCCCTGTTTTATAGCCCTTCTTCCAAACTGTTCCTGAGAATAGCAACATTATTTTACCAATTAGTGGGTTTGTACTTTCTGTTTCATATGTTATCCATTTAATAATCATGTACTGTACTATTAGCATGAACATAACTATAACACACTATAATTATTAATGTTACTATGATATACTATTACTATTTATGTTGCTATAATATAACAACACTGAATTTTAGGGAAGCTGATTCAATTGATCTGACAAGTCCATCAACTCTCAAATTGAATCAGTCTGAATTCCAAACCAGTATATGGTCTCATTTTCAGATTGTTAGTGAGTTGTTGGCACAGTTTAAGCTGCATCCTGGTCAGCAAAGGATAAATATCCAATTTAAATTATTTAGTGATATTTCTGAGGAAGGGACCATTATGTGACAACATTGCTGGGGCTGATTTATATATGACTGAGAGCACCAAATGAATGGTGACTAGTGAAAATGTGACAGTGAGTGGTTCATGTTAATGTTTAGCCTCTGTCACCTCATTCCTATAAGGTTGAAGCCTAAAAATTAGTCCTAATGTTTTCTTGATTTCTATCTTGTGAATGCTGATCTGTACTCAAAAATATCTTCAAAGCAATAGACAATGCCTTGAAAATTCCTGTATGCAGTCTCAATTAGCAGCTTAGGAGTTATGTTATCAGATACAGGTAATTCCTTAGCATCAATCGGTATGATAACCTTTGAGAAAAGCTACACAACATTAACGATAATCCATCTTTTCCAACCTAACTATAAAACTTATTTTTTTCAATCACTTCATATTTGAATTATTAATTCCACAATGTAAGGCAGTAAAATATGAATCAAGTCTTCCATTATGCAAAAGTTCCAGCCTATTCTTCCTCAAGGAATCTTGTAGTGATTTTCCGTAAATTTTAAAGTTAGTCATGAACTTGTAGCTGTTTGGCTGATCCTGCACTATTTACCAGTTGAACATTAGACAATCCGTAATAAAATTAAAACCTAGTATCAAAATGAAGAAAATTGACTGCAGTTTTATGAACATGTGCTCAATTATTCCTTGAAAAAGCATAAAAACCTAAGTAAGGAGGTTTTAGCCAGGCTTAGTCAAACTTGCGCTGCAGATGAGCTGAAGAACAGAAAAACTTGCCATTTTTGCTCCCCATATCGTGATGATACTTCACTCTATAGCAGTTTGATACAACTGAGTGCCCTGCTTGGAATTCCAGAGGAAAGTTAAGAGTCAACAACATTGCTGTGAGTTAAGAGTCATGCATTGGTTGGACCAGGTAAAGATGGCAGATTGCACATTGTAAAGGTTGCAAAGGCTTTCACAGCAACCTGATAGTTTTATGACCATTATAAATGAAACTAACATTTTACTTTAGATTCATCTATTAATTGAATTTAAATTCCCCCATATTTCATGATGGGAATTCAACTCATGCCCCCAGAGAATTGGTCCACACATCTGTTTTACTGGTCTAGTAACATTACCACCATACTATTGTTCCCCCTTGGACTTCATAGTAAGTGGCTAGGAAAAGCATGCAATGTCAAGTAAGGACGTATTATCAGAATAAATGCAGAAGAGTGTTACTTACCTTGCTGTTGAAAACAAAAATAATTATGACTTGATTGCAATTGTCAGTTTAGTCGCAGCCAACAAAAGGTGACATGCTCCACAGAATCTACTAAGGCTTCTTTAAGCAATCTGCTTAGATACGCATAATGACAGCAGACTAACTATATCTTAAAATTCTGCTTTTCCCTCTCTCCTGCAGAGAAATGCTTTGTGATTGACTTGCATCTTCAGACATTAGGCAAACATCTGAAATTATTCACCTGAAATTTCTCCTAAAACTTCCAGTTCTGGCCACTAGATGGGACTACACAGATGTTTCTTCCTCATGTCAGTTTGCATGCCCACTGGTGCAGGCTTTGGTGTAAAAGCAAGAAACATCTTGGCATGCGGTGAATGCACTGTTTAACCTGCAGTCCTCACCAGAACTTTGTGAGTTAAGCATGGAAGGAAAAAAGAAGAATGATTAACTCTTTTTATTCTCTCAAACTGTTTTCATCACATGTACGATCAATATTTTTAAAACACAGTTAGGCAGAATTATGAATACTTGGAACGCCAGAAGGCAGCAGGGTGTGCCCCCAGCCAGAAGAAAAAGAAACACAATATCAGTCAGTTAGAGCTCCAAGGCCTCTGGTGGGGGGGCGGGGAGGTGGGGGGGGGGGGGGGGGTAGGGGTTGGGGGGGGGGGGGAGGGATAGTATTGGAGCAGTTACGTTAATGTGAATTGGGTGGGAATGCCACCAATTCATTGCAAGATATCACTTGAGCCATCTGGAAGGAAGCAACACTGGAACTAATTCCCTCACCCCAAAACTGCAGGACAGCAATGCAATAAGTTCCTATCACAACAAGATAACATACTGCCTCCTCTTTGTTTTCTTTATTGTCCGGCTAGATGCTACACTTCATCCTCTTAAAGCAACATTTTCACAAATTAATCATTAACAATATTTCTTTCCTCAGGCTGCTCCAACTCAATATCCTGAGTAATGGTTGTCTAGTTCCCCTTATATTAGTCATTCATTTTCCACAATCGTAAGGCTCCTTAGACAGCACCTTCCAAAGCTACGATCATTACGATCTAAAAGGACAAGAGTAGCGGATACATGAGAACACTCCCACCTGCAAGTTCCATGCCAAGCCACTCATCATTCTGACTTTTGAAAATATATTACTGATCCCTCACTGTCACTGGATCAAAATTCAGGAACTCCCTCTCTAATAGCATTCTAGATGTACCTACGCTATGTGGGCTGTGGTCATCATCACCCTCTTATTAGCAATTAGGGATGGGCAATAAATGCTTGCCCAGCCAGTGAAGGCCACATACCCTAAAAAAACCTAATTTCCTCACATCTTTTATTTAACTCTTGCTTGCCACTTGGCACATTCATCCATTACCAGGCTTATCTTCATTCACTCTTGCAGAGCAGTTGACATTTAATGCCCATTGCAGGTAAGGCACAAGAAGAGGATTGCTCAGAATTAAATACTTCATCTACTTCGAAGCAAGTCCCTGCAGCTCACAGGAAGGCTGTCAGTATTTGTGTTGGACATCTACACTGCATCTCTCTGAAGCAGCATTTAAATACAATCTTTCACTGCTTCTTTAATCCAAAGGCAATATGTTCACTCATTGTTCATTCATGCCCACTTTTCCTGCAGGTTCACAGGGA